AAGTATGTGTGGAAAATAGCTAAAAAAGAGGATTCTCTTTGGGTGAAATGGGTTCATGCTGTGTACATTAAAGACCAAGACAGGTGGAATTATAGTCCTAAAAGATCTGCAAGATGGGCTTGGAGGAGATTATGTGCAGTTAAGGACCAGCTAAAAGAAGGGTTTGAGCAAAATAGCTGGATGAATGGCACTTATAGAATTTCTGAGTGCTACAAATGGCTGCAGGGAGCTGGAACAAAGGTGGATTGGTGTAAATGGGTTTGGAATAAGTTCACTATCCCCAAGCATTCTTTCATATTATGGCTTGCTATGCATGATAGACTCAGAACAAGAGAGAAACTCTTGAAATATGATGCATGTGATGAGGATAGTTGTCTGTTGTGTGGTGCTAATATTGAGGACAGACAACATCTGTTCTTTAATTGTAGATACAGTCAAAAGTGCTTGATGAGAATTGCCCATTGGCTCCATATTCCAAATCAAAATTTCTGCATTGATGAGGTTTGGAAGAATTGGCTCAGTGCAGTGAAAGATAAGGTGTAGAAGAAGGTGGTTCTAGCAGTTCTGGCTTGTGTTATTTATCACATCTGGTTTGCCAGGAACACTGCTTTCTCGCAGAAAGCTATTATCCACCCTTCAAACCTGTGTAAGAGTATTGGTAGGGTGAGCATGGATAGAGTCAAACAGCTCATAAACAAGAAATGGAACAGATTGCAGTGCAAGTGGATTCATGAGCTATGTAGCAGCATCCCAAACTAGTGTTGCTGTATTTATTTTAGTTGGTTTTCTTTTGTATGCTCTAGTCCTTTTTCAGTTGTTTTCAGGTTTTGCTTTACTCTCTCTTAGTTTAACCCTTCCTAGAAGGTGGCAACTAAGGAGTTTAAAGCTTAGGGGGGTAGCCTTTGTGTTAGGCCTTGTATTGTTTTGGTGGTACCTTATTTAGGCTTGTAACTGTTGAACATTTGTACAGTTTTTGTTACAAATATAATTGCTTATTTACCAAAAAAAAAAAAAAAAAACATCAAATGAAATTCAAACACATTCAAACAAAGCTTTTTAAGTGAAATGAAAGTCAAACACATAAAAATGAAGCTTTTTTAATCAAATGAAAGTAAAAAAAAATTAAACAAAGCTTTTTGAATCAAATGAAGGACAAATACATTCAAACAAAGCTTTTTGAATCGAATAAAAGACAAATGCATTCAACGAAGCTAATTGAATTGAATAAAAGTCAAACATATTCAGCAAAGGTTTTTAAATCAAATGAAGGTCAAATGCATTCAACGAAGCTCATTGAATCAAATGAAAGTCAAACACATATAAACAAAGCATTTTGAATCGAACCAAAGTCAAAAACATTAAAAAAAAAGGCTTTTAAATTGAATGAAAGTCAAACACATTCAAACAAAGCTTATTGAATCAAATGAAAGTAAAATACATTCGAACAAAACTTTTTAAATCAAATCTAAGTCAATCACATTAAAACAAATCTTTTTGAATCGAATGAAATAAGAACACATTCAAACAAACAATTTTAATCGAATGAAAGTCAAACACATTCAAACAAAGCTTTTTGAATCAAATCAAAGTCTAATACATTCAAACGAAGCTTTTTAATCAAATGAAAGTTAAACACATTCAGACAAAGCTTTTTAATGCGAATAAAAGTCAAATGCATTCAATGAAGCTAATTAAATTAAATGTATGTTAAACATATTAAACGAAGCAATTTAAATCAAACGATGGTCAAACACATTAAAACAAATCCTTTTGAATCGAATGAAAGTCAAACACGTTCAAACAAAGCTTTAGAACTGAATGAAAGTCAAACACATTCAAACAAAGATTTTTGAATTGAATGAAACTCAAATGTATTTAACGTAGCTAATTTAATCGAAGGAAAGTCAAACTCATTCAAACACAACTTTTTGTATCAAATTAAAGTCAATACATTAAAACAAAGCTATTTGAATCAAATATAAATCAATTGCATTAAAACAAAGTTAATTGAAACAAATGAAAGTCAAACACATTTAAACAAAGCTTTTTGAATCAAACCATAGTCAAACACATTAAAACAAAGGTTTTCAAATTGAATAAAGGTCAAACACATTAAAACAAAGATTTTGGAATTAAATGAAAGTGAAACATGTTCAAACAAAGCTTTTTAAATCAATGAAAGACAAACACATTAAAACTAAGCTTTTTGAACCAAATGAAAGTCAAACACATTGATACAAAGCGTTTTGAATCGATTAAAAGTCAAATCCATTCAACAAAGCTAATTGAATCAGATGAAAATCAAACACATTCAATCAAAGATTTTTGAATCAAATGAAAGAAAAGCACATTGTAACAATGCTTTTTGAATAAACAAAAGTCAAACAAATTAAATTAAAGCTTTTTTAATCAAATGCAACACAAACACATTCTAACAAAGCTTTTTGAATCAAATGAAAATCAAACACATTAAAACAAAGCTTTTTAATCGAATGAAAATCAAATGCATTAAACGAAGCTAATTAACTCAGATGAAAGTCAAACACATTAAAACAAAGCTTTTTAATCGAATGAAAGTTAAACACATTCAAACAAAGGTTTTGAATCGAATGAAAGTCAAACACATTAAAACAAAGCTTTTTGAATCGAATTAAAATAAAATGCATTCAACGAAGCTAATTGAAAAAGATGAAAGTCGAACACATTAAAAAAAAACTTTTTGAATAGAATCAAAGTCAAACACATTAAAATAAAGGTTTTTAAATTCAATGAAAGTCAAACACTTTAAAACAAAGGTTTTAGAAATGGAAGTCAAACAAATTCAAACAAAGCTATATGATTTAAATGAAAGTCAAACAAATTCAAACAAAGATTTTTAAATCAAATAAAAGTCAAATGCATTCAACGAAGCTAATTGAATCAAATGAAAGTTAAACACATTTAAACAATGCTTTTTGAATCAAATCAAAGTTAACCACATTTTTAACAAAGATTGTTAAATCAAATGAAAGTCAAACACATTTAAACCAAGTTTTTTTGAATCGAATGAAAATCAAATGTATTCAAAGAATATAATTAAATTAAATGAAAGTCAAAACATTTAAACAAAGCATTTTTAATCAAATAAAAGTGAAACACATTAAAACAAAGATTTTTGAACCAAATGAAAGTTAAACACACTCAAACATAGCTTTTTGAATCAAAGGAAAGTCAAACATATACTGACACCGCTTTTTGAATCGAATGAAAATCAATCACATTAAAACAAAGCATTTTGAATCGAATGAAAACCAAACATATACTAAACAATGCTATGTGAATCAAATCAAAGTTAACCACATTAAAACAAAGCTTTTTAAATCAAATGAAAGTCAAACACATTTAAACCAAGTTTTTTGAATCGAATGAAAATCAAATGCATTCAAAGAATCTAATTAAATTCAATGAAAGTCAAAACATTTAAACAAAGCTTTTTTAATCAAATGAAAGTGAAACACATCAAAACAAATATTTTTGAACCAAATGATAGTCAAACACACTCAAACATAGATTTTCTAATCAAAGAAAAGTCAAACATATACTGACAACGCTTTTTTAATCGAATGAAAACCAATCACATTAAAACAAAGCTTTTTGAATCGAATGAAAATCAAATGCATTCAACGAAACTAATTGAATAAAGTGAAAGTCCAACACATTCAAACAAAGCTCTATGATTCAAATGGAAATCAAACAAATTCAAACAAAGATTTTTGCCTCGAATGAAATTCAAATGCATTTAACGAAGCTAATTAAATAAAATGAGAGACAAACACAATTAAACAATGCTTTATGAATCAAATGAAAAGCAAAAACACATTCAAACAAAGCTTTTTTAATCAACGCAAAGTCAAATACATACAAACATTGCTTTTTGAATCGAATGAAAGTAAAACACATTCAAACAAAGCTTATGGATCAAATGAAACTCGAACACATTAAAACAAAGCTTTTTGAATCAAATGAAAGTCAAACAATTTTAAACAAAGCTTTTTGAATAAAAGGAAAGTCAAACACATACTAACATTGCTTTATGAATTAAATGAGAGTCAAAAACATTCATACAAAGCTTTTTGAATTAAAGAAAAGTCTAACACACTAAAACAAAGCTTTTTGAATCAAATGAAAGAAACCTCATTCAAACAAAGCTTTTTGAATTAATTAAAAGTCAAACACATTCATACAAAAGCTTTTTGAATAAAATTAAAATTAAACACATTCAAACAAAGCTTTTTGAATCAAATGAAAGTCAAACACATTCAAACAAATCTTTTTCAATCAAATGAAAGGTTAAACACATTCAAACAAAGCTTTCTTGAATCAAATAAAAGTCAAACACATTCAAACAAAACTTTTTAAATCAAATGAAGTCAAATACATTAAATAAAATTCAAATGCATTTAATACGGTTAATTGAAACAAATGAAGTAAAATAGTTCAAACAAAGCTTTTTTAAATTGAATGAAAGTCAAACAAATTAAACCAAAGCCTTTTGAAAGTCTAACACATTAAAACAAAGGTTATACAATATAATGAAAGTTTAACACGATCAAACAAAGTTTTTTTAATCAATGAAAGTCAAACACATTAAAACAAAGCTTTTTTAATCAAATGAAAGTCAAACACATATAAACAAAGCTTTATAAATCGATTGAAAGTAAAATTTAATCAACGAAGTTAATTAAATCAAATGAAAGTTAAAACACATTCAAACAAAGCTTTTCAAATACAATGAAATAAAAACACCTTCAAACGAAGGTTTTTAAATCATTTGAAAGTCTGACACATTCAAACAAAGCTTTTTGAATAAAATGAAAGTCAAATGCATTCAACGAACTAATTGAATTAAATGACAATTAAACACATATAAAAAATTCTTTTAAAATCAAATTCAAGCCATATTCATAAAAACAAAGATTTTTAAATCAAATGAAAGTCAAATACATTAGAATGAAGCTTTTTTACTCGAATGAAAGTAAAACAAATTCAATAGGCCTAATGAGGTAGCTCTGAGTAGCAAAGCTAAGCTGCTTACCCCTCCGCATAGTGAGAAGGTCAACAGCAGGGAGCCAAGGGGCTTGAGTCCCTAAAAGAGACTTATAGAAAGAGATAATTTCATGAGAAATAACATCTGGATCCTTGAGAAACACCTGATTAGAATCAAAGATGGAGTCAATCCTATTCCTTGCCTGTCTAGTCTTCATCACAGAGAAGAAATAGTGAGAATTGCCATCTCCAAGCTTAACCCAATTGATTCTAGATTTTTGCTTGAAGATGCTTTCCTGAAAATCATTCCAGTGTTTGACAACCTTAATAGCATCAGATTCTTTAGTATATAAATCCAAATCATCAGGATTCTGGGCCATTAAGTTTTGAATTCTAGAAAGCTCAACATTAGCCTGATCAATCTTTCCCTCAATGTTACCAAACTGCTTGCTATTAAGAGACTTAAAACTAGACTTCACAAAATTAAGCTTCTTCCAAACAGAATTACCAGAACCCCAAGCCTGCAAAACAGTATCAAGGAAATCCAGATGATCAACAATACAGTTTAGAAATCTGAAAGGTCTACCTTTCCCAGCAGGGGCAGAACAAATATCCAAAAGAACAAGACTATGATCAAATATAGAAGGAGGGAGATGGATAGTCTCCACATGCCCATGAGAGGCTAACCAAGCTTGGTTACCAAAAACTCTGTCAATTCTAGAGAGAGTTCTAGGGCCAGTATGAGCCTTATTAGACCAAGAGTAGAAGGCCCCTTTGCTTTTGATCTCAGTGAGGTCCAAATCATCAACAGACTTTGAAAGTCTCTAGTCTCATAATCAATAACATCAGTACCATGAAGCCTATCTGAAGTATGAAGGACAGAGTTATAGTCACCAACACAAAGCCAAGGGGAATGCTGAATAGAGATGCTTCTAAGACCCTCCCACAAAGGAAGCCTATCATGAATGGAGTGAAGCCCATAAACAACAGTGAGATGAATTTGAGTAGAGAGGTCCTTAGAAGAAACACTACAATGAATGAACTGTTCATGAACCTTCAAGACATTAACAGTTACTCTATCCGCATTCCAACCAAGCCAAATCCTCTCTTTGAGAGAATGGTCATAATTACACAACCACAGCCAAGAAGAGTCAAACTTCCTCAAGTGAAATTCAAACACATTCAAACAAAGCTTTTTAAGTGATATGAAAGTCAAACACATTAAAATGAAGCTTTTTGAATCAAATGAAAGTAAAACAAATTTAAACAAAGCTTTTTTAATCAAATGAAGGTCAAATACATTCAAACAAAGCTTTTTGAATTGAATAAAAGACAAATGCATTCAACGAAGCTAATTGAATCAAATCAAAGTCAAACACATTCAACAAAGGTTTTAAAATCAAATGAAAGTCAAATGCATTCAACGAAGCTCATTGAATCAAATGAAAGTCAAACACATAGAATTAAAGCATTTTGAATCGAACCAAAGTCAAAAACATTAAAAAAAAGGTTTTTTAATTGAATGAAAGTCAAACACATTAGAACAAAGAATTTTAAAACAAATGAATGTCAAACATATTCAAACAAAGCTTCTAGAATCAAATGAAAGTAAAACACATTCAAACAAAACTTTTTAAATCAAATCTAAGTCAATCACATTAAAACAAATCTTGAATCAAATGAAATAAAAACACATTCAAACAAACTTTTTTAAACGAATGAAAGTCAAACACATTCAAACAAAGCTTTGTGAATCAAATGAAAGTCTAACACATTCAAACGAAGCTTTTTAATCAAATGAAAGTTAAACACATTCAGACAAAGCTTTTTAATGCGAATAAAAGTCAAATGCATTCAATGAAGCTAATTAAATCAAATGTATGTTAAACATATTAAACAAAGCACTTTAAATCAAATGATGATCAAACACATTAAAACAAAGCCTTTTGAATCTAATGAAAGTCAAACACGTTCAAACAAAGCTTTAGAATTGAATGAAAGTCTAACACATTCAAACAAAGCTTTTTGAATTGAATGAAAGTCGAATGCATTTAACGTAGCTAATTTAATCGAATGAAAGTCAAACACATTCAAACAAAGCTTTTTGTATCAAATGAAAGTCAAATACATTCAAACAAAGCTATTAGAATCAAATATAAATCAATTGCATTCAAACAAAGTTAATTGAATCAAATGAAAGACAAACACATTTAAACAAAGCTTTTTGAATCAAACCATAGTCAAACACATTAAAACGAAGGTTTTTAAATTAAATGAAGGTCAAACACAATAAAACAAAGATTTTGGATTTAAATGAAAGTGAAACACGTTCAAACAAAGCTTTTTGAATCAATGAAAGTCAAACATATTCAAACTAAGCCTTTTGAATCAAATGAAAGTCAAACACATTGATACAAAGCGTTTTGAATCGATTAAAAGTCAAATGCATTTAACAAAGCTAATTGAATAAGATGAAAGTCAAACACATTCAATCAAAGCTTTTTGAATCAAATGAAAGACAAGCACATTGTAACAAAGATTTTTGAATAAAATAAAAGTCAAACACATTCAATCAAAGCTTTTTGAATCAAATGAAAGACAAACACATTCTAACAAAGCTTTTTGAATCAAATGAAAGTCAAACACATTAAAAAAAAGCTTTTTAATCGAATGAAAGTTAAACACATTCAAACAAAGATTTTGAAACAAATGAAAGTCAAGCACATTAAAACAAAGCTTTTTGAATCGAATGAAAATCAAATGCATTCAAAGAAGCTAATTGAATCAGATGAAATTCAAACACATTCAAAAAAAAACTTTTTGAATAGAATCAAAGTCAAAAACATTAAAATAAAGGTTTTTAAATTCAATGAAAGTCAAGCACTTTAAAACAAAGGTTTTAGAATCAAATGGAAGTCAAACAAATTCAATCAAAGCTATATGATTCAAATGAAAGTCAAACAAATTCAAACAAATATTTTTAAATCAAATAAAAGTCAAATGCATTCAACGAAGCTAATTGAATCAAATGAAAGTTAAACACATTTAAACAATGCTTTTTGAATCAAATCAAAGTTAACCACATTAAAACAAAGCTTTTTCAATCAAATGAAAGTCAAACACATTTAAACCAAGTTTTTTGAATCGAATGAATATCAAATGCATTCAAAGAATCTAATTAAATTAAATGAATGTCAAACACATTAAAACAAAGCTTTTTTAATTAAATGAAAGTAAAACACATTAAAACAAAGATTTTTGAACCAAATGAAAGTCAAACACACTCAAACATAGATTTTTGAATCAAAGGAAAGTTAAACATATACTAACAACGCTTTTTGAATCGAATGAAAATCAATCAAATTAAAACAAAGCTTTTTGAATCGAATGAAAATCAAATGCATTCAACGAAACTAATTGAATAAAGTGAAAGTCCAACACATTCAAACAAAGCTCTATGATTCAAATGGAAATAAAACAAATTCAAACAAAGATTTTTGCCTCGAATGAAATTCAAATGCATTCAACGGAGCTAATTAAATCAAATAAGTGACAAAAACAATTAAACAATGTTTTTTGAATAAAATTAAAAGCAAAAACACATTCAAACAAAGCTTTTTAAATCAACGGAAAGTCAAACACATACAAACATTTCTTTTTGAATCGAATGAAAGTAAAACACATTCAAACAAAGCTTTTGAATCAAATGAAACTTTAACACATGAAAATAAAGCTTTTTCATAAAATGAAAGTCAAACACTTTTAAACAAAGCTTTTTGAATGAAAGGAAAGTCAAATACATACTAACATTGCTTTATGTTTTAAATGAGAGTCAAACACATTCATACAAAGCTATTTGAATCAAAGAAAAGTCTAACACATTAAAACAAAGCTTTTTGAATCAAATGAAAGAAAACTAATTCAAACAAAGCTTTTTGAATCAATTAAAAGTCAAACACATTCAAACAAATCTTTTTGAATCAAATGAAAGGATAAACACATTCAAACAAAGCTTTCTTGTATCAAATAAAAGTCAAACACATTCAAACAAAGCTTTTTGAGTCAAATGAAGTCAAATACATTAAATAAAATTCAAATGCATTTAACGCACTTAATTAAAGCAAATGAAGTAAACTCATTCAAACAAACCTCTTTTAAATCGAATGAAAGTCAAACAAATTAAAACAAAGCCTTTTGAATCGAATTTAAATCAAATACATTAAACTAAGCTTATTGAATTAAATGACAGTCAAACACATACAAATAAATCTTTTTCAATTAAACTAAAGTCAAAACAGAAAAAAAAAAAAAAAAAGCTTTTTTAATCAAATGAAAGTCAAACACATATAAACAAAGCTTTATAAATCGAATGAAAGTAAAATTCAATCAACGAAGTTAATTAAATCAAATGAAAGTTAAACACATTTAATCAAAGCTTTTCATATCCAATGAAAGAAAAGCACCTTCAAACAAAGGTTTTTGAATCATCTGAAAGTCTGACACATTCAAATAAAGCTTTTTGAATTAATTAAAAGTCAAATGTATTCCACGAACTAATTGAATTAAATGACAATTAGACACATATAAACAATGCTTTTAAAATCAAATTCAAGCCATATTCATAAAAATAAAGATTTTTAAATCAAATAAAAGTAAAATACATTAGAATGAAGCTTTTTTAATCGAATGAAAGTAAAACGAATTCAAACAAAGCTTTTTGAATCAAATGAAAGTCAAATACATTCAAACAAAGCTTTTGAATCGAATAAAAGACAAATGCATTTAACGAAGCTAATTGAATCGAATAAAAGTCAAACACATTCAAACAAAGATTTTTAAAACAAATGAAAGTCAAACACATTAAAACAAAGCTTTTTGAATGCAATGAAAGTCAAATGCATTCAACGAAGCTAATTGAATCAAATGAAATTCAAACACATTCAAACAAAGCTTTTTAAGTGATATGAAAGTCAAACACATTAAAATGAAGCTTTTTGAATCAAATGAAAGTAAAACAAATTTAAACAAAGCTTTTTTAATCAAATGAAGGTCAAATACATTCAAACAAAGCTTTTTGAATTGAATAAAAGACAAATGCATTCAACGAAGCTAATTGAATCAAATAAAAGTCAAACACATTCAACAAAGGTTTTAAAATCAAATGAAAGTCAAATGCATTCAACGAAGCTCATTGAATCAAATGAAAGTCAAACACATAGAATTAAAGCATTTTGAATCGAACCAAAGTCAAAAACATTAAAAAAAAAGGTTTTTCAATTGAATGAAAGTCAAACACATTAGAACAAAGAATTTTAAAACAAATGAATGTCAAACATATTCAAACAAAGCTTCTAGAATCAAATGAAAGTAAAACACATTCAAACAAAACTTTTTAAATCAAATCTAAGTCAATCACATTAAAACAAATCTTTTTGAATCAAATGAAATAAAAACACATTCAAACAAACTTTTTTAAACGAATGAAAGTCAAACACATTCAAACAAAGCTTTTTGAATCAAATGAAAGTCTAACACATTCAAACGAAGCTTTTTAATCAAATGAAAGTTAAACACATTCAGACAAAGCTTTTTAATGCGAATAAAAATCAAATGCATTCAATGAAGCTAATTAAATCAAATGTATGTTAAACATATTAAACAAAGCACTTTAAATCAAATGATGATCAAACACATTAAAACAAAGCCTTTTGAATCTAATGAAAGTCAAACACGTTCAAACAAAGCTTTAGAATTGAATGAAAGTCTAACACATTCAAACAAAGCTTTTTGAATTGAATGAAAGTCGAATGCATTTAACGTAGCTAATTTAATCGAATGAAAGTCAAACACATTCAAACAAAGCTTTTTGTATCAAATGAAAGTCAAATACATTCAAACAAAGCTATTTGAATCAAATATAAATCAATTGCATTCAAACAAAGTTAATTGAATCAAATGAAAGACAAACACATTTAAACAAAGCTTTTTGAATCAAACCATAGTCAAACACATTAAAACGAAGGTTTTTAAATTGAATGAAGGTCAAACACAATAAAACAAAGATTTTGGAATTAAATGAAAGTGAAACACGTTCAAACAACGCTTTTTGAATCAATGAAAGTGAA